CAACAATGAATGAATGGAAATCCAAAGTCTCTGTCAATTTTCATTAAAATTAATAATAATTTTTTTTAAAAAAAGAGGGGATGGATGTCTGTGGTGTATGTGGACACCGTGTTCATGCATGAGTGTGTGTGTATGTGGGGTTACATTTGGGAGGGTACGGGGGTGTTGTGTGTATGTGGGGTTAGGTTTGGGAGGGTATGGGGTTGTGTCTGTGTGTGTGTGTTGTGTGTAGACAGGGGTGCAAGTAGCCGTGTATGGGGCCGATGGGTATGAGTACCTGTGAATGGATGCTAGTGTGCTTGTGTGTGTGAAAATGTGGAGCATCTGAGTGTGTGCACGCATCCATGTTTGTCTGGCGTATACGTGACATGCACACGGGGGTCGGGTATAGGAGGGACTGTGTGTGTGAATATGGAAACAGCTATCTAAGGTGTGTAAGTGGGTCAGCTGTAGGAGGAGTTGTGTACGCATGGGGGTGTGTAACTGGGTCGGGTGTAGGAGGGACGTTCTGTGTGTGCATGCAGATGGACTGTGTATGTATGGGGTGTGTGTATGTGAACTGGACGTGGGAGACATGTTTGTGTGTATGTAGGTTGAGTACGGAAGGGATTGTATACACGGAAAGTGATGGATAAGTGTATGTCGGATGGATGTAAGAAGGACTATGTCTGTGGGTGTGGGTGTGGGTGTGGGTGAACCGGCTGTGGGAGAGAGTACGTGTGTGTGCATGTGTATGGTTGCTCTGTGTGTACACACGGCGCAATAGGAGAGACGTTGTGTATGGGTGTGGGAGTGTGTGTGATGTGTGACTGGATGTGTGTGTAGGTAAGAGAGACAGTGTGTGTGTAGGTACGTGATGTGTGTGGGTGTTAGAGTACGTGTGTACATATGGAAGTAGGGCTGCATGTGTGTGTGTTTATGTCTTTTGTGGTGTGTGGGTGGGGTGCTGAAGAGAACGTGTGTGTGAGTGTGCAAGTGTGTGTGCATGTGGACGGGGTGTTGAAGGCAGTGTCTGTGTGGAAGTGGGTGTATGTGTGTGAAGTCTGGTTGCTTGTAGCAGGGAGTGTGTTTGTGTGTATGTAGGATGTGAGCATGTGGACTGGGTGTGGGCAGGAGTGTGTGTGGGGGGGTGTGAGTGTACATGCCTGAGTGCACGTGTGTCCTGTGTGCACGTGTGTCCTGGGGGCATGACACCAAAGGTCAACAGTGGCCAGAAGGCCCCTCCCAGCAGCATGTCCCCCTGACACACGCCCACCTTTGTAACAAAGCAGCTGTAAATTATTTTTATAATCACTTAAGTCAGATTATACTCATTGAGACAGTCTGCTAAGGAAAATGGAACACCAGCTGAATCTCTACAAAGCCGTCGCCAGCGTCCCGGTAGCTGAAGCCCCCGCACCAGCAGCCTGCGTCAGCAGGTATATTTAGCCGGCCACCGCTGGGCTGGCAGGCGGACCCCAGAGGCAAGTGTGGCCATGAGGCCTGTGTCCCATCCTCCCACACGCCGCCCACCCTTACGGCATGGGGACTGAGCGGTCACCCCAGCAGGGGCCCTGGGGACCTCAGGCCACAGTTGTGGGAGGCACACATGGGCTTTGGGGATGGACATTCGTGGGGGTTAAAATCCCAGATGCCCAAGGTCCCCAATCCTTTTCCTCCTCTGTAACAGGAAAGTGAGTCCCCCTTGGTGGAAACAACTGAGTGCTTGTGTACCAGCTGAAAGGTTTGTAGTTCAAGCCCACCCAGGGCTGCCTCAGAAGATGGCTGGTGAGTCACCTGTGAACAAGGTACGACCTGGAAGACCCTGATGAACCAGGGGGTCACCGCAGGTCAAAACAGACCCCATGACCACCGCACAGTGGGGCTAAGGTGATGGTCCCTCACCAAGGGATGGGGGTGAAATGAGACAGGGAAGCAACACGCCACCATCCCACCTGGCAGGCGCACTGCTTCCCTCACCTCCTGCCACACCCTCACTCAATACTGGACTTCCCGCCCAGCTCAGGGCAGTCGGAGATGACCAAGGAGAAGCCAGCCCTCGACAGAACACAGGTTCTGGGGGAGGCAGAAGGAACAGCCTGGAAAATCTTTGGGGGTGGGGGGTGTCACAGAGACAACCGAGGAACCCCAGGAGCACACAAGCTTTCAGGCACGGCAGATGGGTAAGCCAGGTGGAACCACTGAGAAAGTTCTAGAAAAGAAGGATACAGCTGCACTCGGAGGGCAGAGAGATCACACGTTTAAATAAGCAGGTTCTTAAATCAGGTTTGTCTAAGCGTTCCTAATGTCTAGCTGCTGGGATAACAGAGCCTCTACCTCTTCCCCCAGACATCGGTTTTAACGACGGAGTCTGGTCCCCACTCAGAAACACCCCACCCCCCCACCCCACAGGCCCGTTCCCCACTGTCACCTCATAACCTGCCCGCTTCATCTTTTCTGTTTCCTGCTGGACCTGAAGGGCATCTAAGTTTAGGGATCATGATGAAAGAATTGGGTGGGGGGTTGAGGAAGGTTCCCCAAAGCAGCTGGGAAGTCTGAGCTGGGAGGGGGGAGGAGGAGAAGGACGAAGGGGGGTCCAGGAGGAGGGAACACCGAGCAGCACAGAGAGAGGCAGGTTCAAGAGAGGCTGCTGGTCTGTTAGGTGAAGGGGGGCTGCGTCGTACAGGGTGAGAGGCACAGGGGTAAACCTGGGGTGAAGTCAGGCAAGAGATTTCTAGAAGCAACTCCGTCTGCAGAAAGGAGGGGGGCTGAGAAGGGGACCCTTAGCAGTGTTATAAAGAGATGAGGAGGGAAGCACGCCCCCACCCCGTCCTGACGTGGCCTGTGAAGGGGACTCTGGGCCAGCTAGCGATGGGAGGGGTGACTGCCTGTGGAGAGGAAAGCGCTACAGCAAGCCTGTTGCCATGGAGACCAGGCTGCAACCTCCCCAGCTCCCCAGAGCCAAGTTTCAGGGCAGAGAGATGCCTCCACGCCCCCACCTCAGCCAGGCAGTGATGTCAAAGGGGGAGGGGCAGAGCCCACCCACCCATGGGTGCTGTGGGGGCGGGGAAGAGGCGGGCAGAGTGGAGGCCCTCCCCCTCCCCAGCTCCCAACTGTTAAGGGACAAACGGAGCTCTGAACACTGGTTCTGCAGCAGCAGCCTTTGGTAGAGGAAAGTTCTCGAAAGTTCTTAGTGTTCCAGAAGCTTCTGGAATGACCCGCTTTTGCTGTGCACCTACTGTGTGCTTTAGGCCCAAGACTGGGAGCAAGGAAGAGGAGGGCTGTGGTCTCAGGGTGCCTACAGCCCGAGGCTCACATGGGGGCACTAGCAAAGGGTCCTGGTCCCCAGTTGGCAACAGAGACAAAGAACAGTGTGTGGGGGGGTGGCAGCGCGGGCCCCAGGATGTGGGGAGGGCAGGGGAGTCCTCCCTGAGAGTGACACTGAAGGGGCCCCAGGATGTGGGGAGGGCAGGGGGTGTGGGGAGGGCAGGGGAGTCCTCCCTGAGGAGTGACACTGTAGGAACATCAGGTGTGGGGGTGGGGGTGGCGAGGGAGCGCATTTCAGTGCAACCACAAAGGCTGGGGGGGTCACAGGGCTAGAGCCAGGTCAGAGAGGACATGTGGGCGGCAAAGGGGTGTTCAAAGGGCACAAACGGAGAGAGTGGGACAGGCAGAGGAGCAATGGATCTCAGAGGCACTTGAGGAACCCACAGTGGTGCGGAGGAACCTTCTGGAAGGTTGCGCTGGCTCCCCTGGAGGAGCATGTCTGGGTGGGGAGTGAGGGGGATCTGATGTGCGAAGGGCTGTGGGCTGCAGTAGCCTGCCCCAGGGAGGTCACCTGCAGGAGATGAGCTGAGTCAGCAGAGGCTGAGAGGCAGGGGTGGGGCTAAAGAGTCACTAATGACCCCTGTGTGTCTCCCAGCCTGGCGTGCCCCCCCCTTACAGACACCCACTCCCCAGAAATGACCTCCAGGCACTGAGCTGGGGCCTCATGTGGGGACACCTGGCTCCCACTGGGCCCGCCATCCTGTGCACCTCAGTAGAGGGTGTTCTGTCAGCACGGGGAGTACATACCATCCCCTACACACCCTAAGGGAGCCCACAATGCTAACCTAAAGGTCAGCAGTTCAAATCCATCCTCTATTCCAAGGGAGAAAGATGGATGTCTCCCCTGTGGGGGATTCCAGCCTCGGAAGCTGACGGAAGTGGCCTTTAGTCAGGACTTAACAGCAGTGGGTTTAAAGTCCCTAAGCTTCCATGAGGCTGGTCCCAAACGGCAGGTCCTCAGCACCCCATCATCTGACATGTCCATAACCCAGAACGAAAGAGGAGGCTACAGAGGGGTGTGCCACGTACACACCCAGGCCCACCTGGAGAGGACAGGGCAAGCCTGGCCCAGGTCCCTGTGTTCGCCCCACCCCCATCCTCAATGCTGCCCCCTCCGCAACTCCACCCGGGAAGTTTCTCCACTTTCCTCTTAATATTGCTATTTTAATAATAAAGATAGTTAAAAGAACAGAACTGTTCCTTTAGGGGAGAATAAAAAGAGTGAAGGATTGTAAATGTGCCTGCACAGCTTACGGTCTGCTTAAGGACACGTAATTACCGCGCCATCTCTTTCTCAAGATGCTGAAGAATTTAAGAATTGCATCCACTTCAGCGAGTCTTCTCAAAGACAGAGCCCAGCGATTCCCCGCCCCACCCCACCCCCAGAGGCAGGCGGGGACAGGCGGTAGGACTCCTCGCTTCCTCTCAGTAGCCTTCTCAGCCCGTCCCCCACCCACAAAGAGGACAAGGCACTTGGGGGACAGTGTGTACCTTCTGTCCTGAAACAGTCCGTGCAGCACAGCCTCTGAACGGCGTGGTCTCGGCTCTGTCTGCGACAGGGAGCTGAGGGGCCTCACTCCTGCACTGCCTGCCCGCCCCCCCATCCTTGCCTTAGGGAGACCCCCATCTGTACTCCTCCCTAACACAAGGATGGGGGGCTTCAGCTTCCCCAGTGCAAGCAGTCACCCCACTGACAGCTGCAGCAGGTAGTGCTGTCCAGTGGCTCTGACTCACGGCACACAGAGGAGATGCCCGGTGGGGCTTCCCAGGCTGTCAGCCTTACCGGACCAGCTCACTAGGTCTCCCCACTCCCACCCCAGCCCCACCCCCAGAGCTCTGGAGGGTCTAAACGTCAGACTTTTCCATTAACAACTGACCATTTGAATCGTTGCACCAGCAAGCCTTCGTCCATTGACAATTAATCATTTAAAAAATAAATTAATAATAATAAAAAATTTCTTTTGAGTCAATTCCACCTCACATGTCAGAATAGAACTGTGTTCCACAGGAGTTGCAAGGCTGATTTTTTTTAAAGGTTTCAGGCCTTTCTTCCTAGGTTACTCTGGGGAGGAGTTGAACCTCTAACCTTTCAGTCAGCGGCACAGCGCGCCAGGCTCTACCCACATTTATCACCTCACTAAATCTTCTCAAGGACTCCACAGTGAAAGCTTCACTAACCCGTTTCACAGATGAGAGAGGAGAAAGAGCAGGCCAGTGCTGCCCAGTGGGGCCGACTCACGCCTGCTCAACCCCAGGGAGGATTTTCAAGCGTGAGCTTGCATCATGGAAAACACACAGGAAAATGAAACAGTGCAGAACAGCTCCAGCGGATGGCCAAGGCTGGCGTGTTTACAGGAGCAGACCGCCTCATCTTCCAGCTGCTGGCTTTGAACCACCAACCTCTCACTTAGCAGCTCAATGCATAAGCACGACACCACCAGAGTTTACCTATATGAACACGTTGTGGGTAGAGGCCATCAAACAGGCTCCAACTTCTGGCAATCCCATGAGCAAAGTAACAGAACCCCACCTGGTCCAGGGCCATCCTCATAACCTCTGCTGTGTGTCAGAGCTGCTGCTGCACCCGCTGTGCCAACCCACCCAGGTGCCCTAGGGAAACCCTCTGCCTGGATGGGTAATGTCAGTCCATCTATCGAACCTCCCTCCCTTTCAGCCTCCGTATCATCCCTGCCTCGGTCCCTGCCCAGGGCATCCCCACTGCTCCATTTCACAGGGCTGACCACACCTCCTTCTCATCTCCACCGAGCCTCTCACAGCTCAGAGGAATGAGCTCAGAGGCAGCCAGCTGTGGCTCACAGCGGATGGCACGCGGATCCAAGATTCCAGAAGTACCAGATATGCCCTCCCGTTCAGTGAAATCCAACCTGCCTCTGGGGACCCCACACTCTCCCAGCACCTGGATTTTACTCACCAAAGCGCCCCATCATCATCCTGTAAACAAGAACAGAGAGAAAGGGAACCATTAGTGGGATCTCTCAAGACTGGGAAGTAGGTAGAAAGTCCGTTAGATGACAAGGCTCCACCCAGGCTGGCGCGTGATTGTCCATGAAGGACAATGTGCCAAAAAATGCGAGTCCCACTTTCACAGACTCTGTCTCAGCCACGTCCAATTAAGAAATGCTTCTGGAGACTGTGAAAGGTTTGAACGAGGTGGGCAGCAAATCATCACCTCTATTCACACATAACTCATTGTCTCCAAGTTGGTTAAACTCCAACATGTACTGAAGGGAAGTAGCAGCCGGTAGTGGGCAGGAGTAACCCCTCTTGTCTTTCAGTAGCTGCAGCGTGCTATCCAATAACCAATCCTATGTTTATAATGCGCGGGAAATGTCTCTTCTTAGCTAGCGTAGGAATGTGTGGCAGAACAGGGCTGATAACAGGCAGGAGAACATTTCAGGATTGAAGCTCAACATCAAGAAAACAAAGATTCTTCCCACTGGGCCAACTGGCAGCATCAGTATGGATGGTGAAGAGATTGAGATAGTTGACAGTTTTCGTTTACTTGGCTCCACGGGCAACACTCTTGGTAACAGCAGCCAGGAAATCAGGAGACAAATTGCATTGGGAAAGTCAGCTGCGAGGGACCTCTCAAGAGTACTGAAGAGCAATGACGTCAGCCTGGAGACTAAGGTGCGCCTGATCCAGGCAGAGTCTTAGCAGTGACATGCTATGCATCGGAGAGGTGGACAGTGAATAGGGATGATAGAAAGAGAACTGATGCCTTTGAGCTGTGGTGCTAGAGAAGAGTGTTGAATATACCATGGACTGCTAGAACAAACAGGTTTGTCCTGGAGAGGGTGAAGCCAGAATGTTCCCTGGAGTCAAGGATTCTGAAGCTTCATCTGATATACTTTGGGCATGTTGCAAGGAGGGACTGGTCCTTGGAGAGGGACATCATGTTTGGGAGAGTGGAGGGATGGTGCAGGAGAGAAAGACCTTCGATGAGATGGATCGATTCTGTGAGTGGAGTGGTGGGAATGACTGTGACAGAGACGGTGAGACTGGCACAGGACAGAGCAGGGTTTAGGGCTCTTGTACATAGGGTCACTATGAGTTGCAAGTGACTCGGTGGCACATAACAACATCAACAAATGAAAATGTTTGGATGCATGGACTGAGAAGAAGAGATGAATTCCTAAGCAGTAAGTGAGAACCAGCCCTCAAGATATTTACCACAAATCTAATTATGAACCATCAGCAAGCACACTAATTATCTCCCTTTAGTTCTCACTTCTCTTTCCTGTTATTTTGGACTCGGTGGAACGGAGGTTGGGGAAGCTCGAAATGGCAGCCTGTGTTGCTGCTGGACTTCCCCATTGGTCCTCAAAAACCACACCCACTGCCATCAAGTTGATCCTGACCCAGAGTGACCCTCCATGCAAATCTTAGTGGGATGAGACTGCCCACCTTGCTCTGTTGAGCTGCCGGGGGACCAGGAGCCACCTGAGATGTGTGGGCTTTGGGTTAGTAGAACAACATGCTATAGTCTGTGCCACCAGAGACGTCTAACAAAGCGCCTCTCTCCTCTTGAAAGTTAAGTCTTACTTATTTTTAATCAGAGGCTTCAGAGCTCGGAACACAGGCCTTGGGAAGCAATCCTGCTTGACAGGGTAGCACTGGCCCGTTGACTTTCCAAGGATGCAATCTACAGAACTAGATCTCCACCCGAGATGTGGCTGGGGGGTTTGCGTAACCGACCTCTTGGTTACTAACTGAGCACTTAACTGCCGTGTCACCAGGGTTCCTGTCAATACTCCTATCAGTCCCCTTGATGCCAGTCACCTCTACTCCTCTGTTTGCCGAAGTGTGGTGGCTGCACGTTGCTGTGATGTTGGAAGCTATGCCGCTGGCATTTCTAATACTCGCAAGGTCACCTATGGTGGTCGGCTTTCAGCAGAGCTTTCTTACTAAGACAGGCTAGAAAGAAAGGTCTGGCAATCTACTGCTACGTAGACTGAGTCAAAGAAAACTTTCTGGAGCACACAGAATGCTGCCCCGCTCCCTTGCTTTGGACGTGTCATCGGGAGAGGAGGACACCATGTTTGGTGAAGGGGAGGGTCCAGGGGGATGAGGGAAACCCACAGTGAGATGGACTTGCATTTGAGATGGACTTGGATGTGAGTGATGAGGTTAAACACGCTGGCAACTATGAAGACACTGCAGGATCAGGTAAAGTTTTGATTTGTTCTGCATAAGATCACCACGATCTGGACAACAGAGTTATCTATCTGTACGCCTGTCACTGGGCTTTCATCATGGGAGTGGTCAGCATGATGTCAACTGAAAGCAGGAATTTCAGCAGCTGTTGATACGGTTAGAGGCTATCAAGTTGATGCTGATTCAGTGTCTTTATGTAGAACAGGGAAAAATACTGACTGGTCCTGCATTCATTACAGGCTCCAGGGTACCTGGTCCTGCACTCATCACAGGTTCCAGGGTACCTGGTCCTGCTCTCATCTGGGGCTCCAGGGTACCTGGTCCTGTTCTCATCTGGGGCTCCAGGGTACCTGGTCCTGTTCTCATCACAGAATCTAGGGTACCTGGTCCTGCTCTCATCGGAGGCTCCAGGGTTAGAATGAGTCCAAAGCCCTGGAGCAGAATAAAACGATGCTTTTGAATTGTGTTGTTAGCAAAAAATACTGGCATTCCACGGAGGAAGTGCAACCAGGGTGCTCTTCAGAGGTGAGGATATGAAGCTACACCTCACAGAGTTTGAGCGTGTCGTCAGGAAGTGCTAGTCCTTGGAAAAAAGGGCATCATGCTGAGAAAGATGGGGGTTAGTGAGAGAGAGGGAGCCCCTCAACGAGACGGACTGACACAGTGACTGCAGTCATGGACTTGAGCTTGGGGGAGATCATGAAGAGGGCAAGGTCTAGATTTGTTGTTCGTACGGTTGCTACGCGTTACCGTCAATTCAATGACATCTGACAACAACAAGACCCCACCCAGATTAGCTTAAGGGCTGACATTGTACCCCCAAATAAGTGGCTGGAAATAACAGGTGTCTTTTTAAATCTCATAGCTTCTGAGGCCAGAGACTGAAACCCAGGCATCCACAGAGTCAAACTCTCCCTGGAATATCGAAGAGAGACCCTTCCTTGTCTCTCCCTGCTTCTGCTGGTTCCTGGCAGTCCTCCGCTCACTCAGCTTCTAGCTACATTAACCTGGTCTGTCTCCATCTACACATGGCCCCCTGCCCTCGGTGTGTCCCTCTGTCTCATCTCCACTGTTACAAGGACATTCTTCCGAGCAGCTAGGGTCTACCCTACTTCAGTACGACTTCATGTTAACTGACGCTATCTTCAAAGGTTCTTTCTAAACAATGTCAATGTCAAGAATTGTTCGTATTTCCTCAAAATACATGTATGTAATGATACACTGTGAAAGTTACATAACAATCCTTCACGATCTGAGCACCTGAGCTGCTCTGAGAGTATTAAGGTGGGTAGAACTCTGACATGCATCACAGCCTTGATCCACCGGAAACAGCGTGTCCCAGGGTGAGGCTTGTAACACCTTCCGTCTTACAAGAGATACAAGAAAATAATAAGTAAGCAGAAGAGAGGTCCTTTGGTGCCACCGAGAAAGAATTGCTAGCCAACAGTACATCTATCAGACCCGCATCCCTGTGCCGGGAAGCTCCTGGACACAGGAGGAGGCCGGGACATATGGAGACCTCCAAGGAACACTGTGCCCATGGATGCTGAAAGGAGACTAGGACCTTCCTCCAGAACCAACAGACAGACAGACGGCCTTCCCCTAGACAGCACCCTGAACTTGGACTTGTAGGCTTCCAATCTATAAGAGAATACGTATCAAGCCCTCTACTGCGGCATCTCTGTGACCACAGCACGTGATAACAGACAGACACATTCGCAGTCGCAGGGCTTAGGGCTTCGACGTCATTTTGGAGGGTCTGACTGGATCCGCACCAGCACTCCAGGCCCAGTTCCTCTCTTCCTCTCAAGTTGCCCTCCTCCTCCTGTTGAAACTGCCAAGCTAGCTACTGGAAGCGCCCAGGCAGAACCACGTGGCTCCCTTCTCCCACTGGGACCAGCCAGGAGGGGCACGTGCCTGTGCACATACTCTCTGTGTCATCTGCGCACATCCCTTCATCCACCTGACCGCTCACAAGCCACGATCAGTTGGGTTCTGGTGTCAGTTCTGAAGGGCCCTCCTTGATTCCCTGATGCAGTAATTAATGTCTGTGCGCGGAGCTGGTGGGTGAGTTGACACCATCCATTTCCAAATGCCCTGTTTCATCTGAAACAGTTCTGTTGAAAAAGAATTGTTGTTGTTGTTGTCATGTGCCGTCGAGTCGTTTCCGACTCATAGCGACCCTATGCACAACAGCCCTAAACCCTGCTCTACCCTGCGCCAACCGCACCGCCTCTGACACACCCATCCCGATTACCCCAGTCACCGAATCAATCCATCTCATAGAGGGTCTTCCCCTCCTGCGCTGTCCCTCCACCCTCCCAAGCATGATGTCCCTCTCCAAGGACCCGTCCCTCCTGGCAACATGTCCAAAGTATGTCAGACGAAGCCCCAGAATCCTTGCCTCCAAGGAGTAGCTTGGTTTAATCCTTTCCAAGATGAATCTGTTTGTTTTCCTGGCAGTCCATGGTACATTCAGTACCCTTCTCCAGCACCACAGCTCAAAAGCATCCACTCTCCTTCTGTCCTCCCTAGTCATTGTTGAAAAAGAATAGATACAGGGAATTCTAACACTCCCCAGTGGGGTGATCCAAAAACCACACACCAGTGTCCCACTTGATCTACTATCTTCAGCACTTTTAGATATCTCTGAGAGACAAGAGACATCCAACCTTGTTTACCAAAGGCAAGTTCTTACTCAGGAGTGCAGCTTCTCCCACGATGGAGCGAGCGGGAGAATGAACAGGATGAGTGAGCAGGACGGCAGGTGGTTAACCATCCTGGATGCTCTCCCCTTCTCTCCGCAACTCACTCTCTTTCAACGTTCCCTTTGGTCAAAAGTCTACCAGCTTGCACACCCATGTTTATCATGGCTTTGTTCACAACTGCAAGGAGTTGGAAACAACCCAAGTGCCCATCAACAAACGAATGGATAGGGAAGCTGTGGTATATTCACACAATGGAACACTACGCTGCACTGAAAAACAAGGAACTCATGCAATATTATTAAAAATGGATGACCCTGGAGGACATTATGCTGAGTGAAGTATCTCAGTCACAAAAGGACAAATAGTGCATAGTGGCACTGTTGTAAAACAGGACTGACATCGGGGTTGGGGGGAGACTGAGAAAGATGGGATATATAATGTATACTGCATTAAAACAGATGAGGGAGAAAACTGTTTAAAAGGGATATGGGATTAGGTATTCTTGTTCTGACAGGAGTTCAGAGCGAAGGCTGTACAGTGGAGTGGACCTGAGGGAGGGATTGTAAAACAATGAAAGATTTTTTCTTTTATTTTTGAAAGAGAAGAGTGTACTGGGGACGGGGGGAGGGTTGGCAGGGAGAAAAGTGCAACAATGAATGAATGGAAATCCAAAGTCTCTGTAAATTTTCATAAAATTAATAATAATTTTAAAAAGTCCAACAGCTTTCTATCTTTTTTTGAAATAATTTTAATGAGCATTTACAGAGATTTTGGATTTCCATTCATTCATTGCTGCACTTCTCTCCCCGCCCATCCTCCCCCCTTCACTCTTCTCTTTCAAAAGTAAAAGAAACACTCCCTCCCTGGTACACAATCCCCCCACACCCCTCCCACCGCCCCAAGTACATTCCACTACGCAACCTTAATTGTGGACTCTTGTGATAACCATAATACCCTATCATACATCGCTTTTAAATTATTCACTCCCTCATCTGTTTCAGTGCAGTATACACAATCTATCCAGTTTTTCTCAGTCTTACCCCAACCCTGATATCAGTCCCATTTTACAACAGTGGCACCATGCAATATTTGTCCTTTTGTGACTGCGATATTTCACTCAGCATAATGTCCTCCAGGCTCACCCATTTTGAATAATATTGCATGAGTTCCTTGTTTTTCAATGCAGCATAGTATTCCATTATGTGAATATACCACAGCTTCTCTATCCATTCATTTGTTGATGGACACTTAGGTTCTTTCCAACTCCTTGCTATCGTGAACAAAGCTGCGATAAACATGGGTGCGCATATATCTGCTTGGATGTCAGCTATGGTCTCTTCAGGGTATATTCCCAGTAGTGGAATTGCTGGGTCAAACGGCATCTCTATTTGCAACTTTTTGAGAAAGCGCCATACAGCCTTCCACAGTGGATGCACCATTTTACACTCCCACCAACAGTGAATAAGGGTTCAAGTTTCTCCACAACCTCGCCAGCATGTGTTGCTTGCTGTTCTGTTAAATTTTGCTATTCTGACTGGGGTGAGATGATATCTCATAGTTGTTTTGATTTGCATCTCTCTTAGAGCTAGGGATTTTGAACATTTCTTCATGTGCTTGTTGGCCATCTGAATATCTTCTTTGGTGAAGTGTCTGTTCATATCCTGTGCCCATTTTTCTATTGGATTATTGACCTTTATCTTGTTGTGGTGCTCAAGTATTTTATAAATTCTAGATATAAGTCCTTTATTTGACATGTCATTACCAAATACTTTTTCCCAGTCTGTGGCTTCCCTTTTTACCCTGTTGGAGAAGTTTTTGGATGTGCATAGGGATTTGATTCTTAGAAGGTCCCATTCATCTATTTTATCTTCTCCTGGTTGTAGATACAGCTTTCTATCTTGTGTTTTAAAATACTTTGTCTTTGTTTGTTGAAAATATACACAGCAGAACATATACCATCGCCACAATTTCTCCATGTACAATTCTGTGATGTTTATTTCATTCTTGGAGCCATGCAGCCATTGTCACCCTCCTTTCCTGAATTGTTGACCCCCATTAACATAAAATCTCTGCCCCAGAATTCTTATCTAATCTTTCAAGTTGCTGTTGTCAGCCTGACCCCAGATAGGTAGACAGACGACGACAACAAGATGCTCAAGGCAGACATTCTTCATGGATGAGGCTATTGCTTGGTTTAAAGATGACTTCCAGGGATGTTTATGGTTTAGGGTTCAAAGATTATCTCAAGGGGCTAGTTTTGGAGGGTCAATCCAGCCCCAACAGCTCTCTCAATGCTCCACCTTCTAAGATAATGAAGACCTCAAAGATTAGAAAGAATTTAGCTCTGACATTACAAATTCTGCAGCAAGCATGTGGCAGGAGGCAAGCTGGGGTAGAAGTGGACATGGACATCTCACCTGAGGACCACAGGATGACTGACTGGACAATGGTGCACACATACTTTTATCCCCAGCTGAAAACCAGCACTGAGTGAAACCCTCTCCAGGAAAATATGGCCCAGAAGGTCAGGACACACAGGCTACTTACTCCGAGGTCGTGGTCAATTCCTCCGTGATGTGGTTGGAGTGCAGGAGGCCTTCCCGTTTCTGGAAACCCAAAACCAAGGAGTGAACAAGCAAGTAAAGGGACAAAGTAAACACCTCTCCTCCCAACAGTTCAGAGAGGTGAGACAGGGTTACTATACCTTCCCTCCCAACAGTTCAGACAGAGGGGTTAGATAGGATGGGTTACAGACAGAGTTACTGAAGCCGTGTGCAGAGAGGGCCCTGACCAGGAGACTAGCTCAGGAAGTAAGTATGGACAGTGTGGTGAATGTCCAGGCCATTTCTAGGTGGGAAAAATGGAGGTGATCACACGTTATGCCTTTGATGTCTGACTGTCCCTAGTTTCCTCCCCCACCTTATGTACTGCACAGTGTGAAAGCTACTGGCTGAGGGTGATGATGTGAGTGGTGGCAGAGGTAGGAATGATGGTGGAGATGTGAGTGGAGGTGTGTGTGGTAACAGAAGTTGGAATGATGGTAGTTTGAGTGGTGGACGTGTGAATGGTGGTAGAAGTGGGAACAATGGTGGAAGTGTGAGTGATGGAGGTATGATTGTGGAGGAGGAAGTGTGAGTTATAAAGGTGTGAGTGATGGAGGTGTGGGTGGTGGCAGAGGTAAATGATGGTGGAGGTGTGATTAGTGGAGGTGGAGGTGTGAGTGATGGAGGTGTGAGTGGTGGAGATGTCAGGGGTGGAGGTAAAGGTGAGAGTGATAGAGACGTGAGTGATGGAAGTGTAAGTGGTGGAGAGGGATGTATGAGTGATGGAAGTGTGATTGGTAGAGGTGTAAGTCATGGCAAAAGTGTATATGATGGTGGGGGTGTGGGCAGCAGAGGTGTGATTGATGGAGGTGTGATTGGTAGAGGTGTGATTGATGGAGGTGTAATTGGTAGAGGTGTGAATGTAAGTGGTGGAGGTGTGATTGTGGAGGTGGAGGTGTGGATGATGGAGGTTGAATGGTGGAGATGGAAGTGTGAGTAATGGAGGTGTGAGTGTAAGTGGTGGAGATAGAGGTGTGAGTGGTAGAGGTGTGAGAGGTGGAGGTGTAAGTGACGAAGGTATAAATGGTGGAGGTGTGAATGTGAGTGATGGAGGTGTGAGTGTAAGTGGTAGGGTGTGATTGTGGAGATAGAGGTGTGTATGATGGAGGTGTGAATGGTGGAGATGGAAGTGTGAGTGACAGAGGTGTGAGTGACGGAGGTGTGAGTGGTGGAGGTGTGAGTAGTGGAGGTGTGTGTGGTGGCAGAAGTATAAATGATGGTGGTGGTGTGGGTAGAGGTGGACAGCCCAGAGGTGAGGGTGCTGAAGTGGGTGGGATTACAGGTGGAGGTGCAGTGCAGCCCTGCATATCCCAGGGGCTCAGGATGGAGTGGAACCTTGGCAAATGCACCACTGGCCCCTCCTTGAGCCCCTGGAGGGCTGTGGCCTGAGAACTCACCCCCTCAGCTGAGAGTCCACTGTGGACAGCTCTCAGGACCTGAGCTCTCTGTCTTTCCTGAACCCAAACCCCAGATACCTCCATCACTGCTTTTCACATGTTGAGAACAGCCTGTGTCTGGCCTCCAGCCGTCTCCCGGCCTCATCCCGATTGATTCTCAGGACAGCGCAGGGAGGACAGCACAGAGATCTCCCCTCCCCTCAGTCACTCAGCGGACACCTGGGAGCCCTTCCCAGGGGCTGGGCCCAGTGCCAGGCACCGCAGACTCCGAGCTGGACATTTTAAAGGTTAGTAATAGCGTCACCTCAGTTCCAGGTTGTGACAGAGAAAGTAAGCCATCCTCCCACCACCATGCCGCTGGCACTGAGTGACAGTCCTGGGCCTGGACCACCACAGCTCAGGTGACTGGTCACCTGGGCGAGGCCAGAAGTGGAGGGCACAGTGGGCAGGGGCAGGGAGTGCAGATCGGGCCTGCTCTCCTCATTCTGGCCCCGTAGGGGGTGACTGAGACTCTGCGGCCTGGGTCAGGGCCACCTGCACCCGCAGACTCATCTGGTCAGCACTGCTTCCCACAACCCCAAGAGCCAGTCTTGGACCAGCACGCACGTTTGAAAGGAAATACGCAGTGATGGGGCTGCAGACGGGGCCCGCTCTGACGCACGTGGGTTTGGGCAGCAGTTCCCGGCCAGCCGCCCACACAGGGGGCATCTGAGGACAGGAAGGCTCCCTGGTCCCCATCACTCCGGACCACAAGCATTCCTCTTTGGAAGCAAGTGGGGCTCAGTGGCTGGAACCCAGGGGCGGCTGCCGGGCACGGATAGGTCCATCAGACCGAGGCCACCTGGACCAGCAGGGTCATCCAGGCCCACGTGGACCACATAGACTGCGAGGACGAGAAGTCTAAAAGCCAGCAGACACTGGGGACTGGGAGGCCCAAGTGATGGTAACACGAGAGGCTCAGGTTTTCCAGCATAACCCCGCTCGCTGGCTCACTACACAGTTGTTCCCTGAAGATGCCACGTGTGTCTCCCCATGTCACTGTCCCCAACACCATGTGCGGGACACAGGACACGGCATTATCTGTTATCAGGTCAGCCCCTGATTTACGGTGACCCCATGCACAAGGGAACAAAGCGCTGGCCTATCCAGCTCCGTCCCCATGAGTCACCATGGATCGGACCAGTGCGACCCAGGGGTTTTCACTGACTGAGCTTCGGACCGCCAGGCCTTTCTTCCTAGCCCATCTTCATCTGGAAGCTCCACTGAAACTAGTTTGGCACCACAGCAACACGCAGGCCTCCACTGACGGGGGGCTGTGACAACTCGTGACACACCTGGCTGCGAGTCAAACACGGGTCTTCCACGAGGAAGGAGAGAGGACGTCTCCTACTGCCCACCTCTGCCCCCAACAGCCACATGTTGTCATTAGGTGAGGTGTTGTTGAGTCAAATATGACTCATAGCGACCCTGTGAACAACAGATGTGAACCCGGCCGTGTCCTGCGCCGTCCTCACCATCTCTGACACACCGGAGCCCATTGCTGCGGTCACTCTGTCAACCTGTCTTGTTGAGGGTCTTTCTCTCTTTTGTTGACCATCCATCTTCCCAAGCATGGTGCCTTTCTCCAAGGAATCGTCTCTCCTAGCAATATGCCCAAAGTATGTGGGACAAAGCTTTGCCATCCTTGCTTCCAAGAATCACTCTGGCTGCATTTTTTCTTCTTCTAAGACATATCTATTTTTTCCTTTGGCCGTCCATGGGATATTCAGTGCTCTTCTCCAACACCACAGTTCAAAGGCATCAATTCTTCCGTCATCCTGACTCACCCTTCAGAGGCACAGCAAGTGACTGAAAAGACCGTGGACTGAATCAGGCGCACCTTAGTCTTTAAACTAACATCATTGCTCCCAGGAATCTGGACAAGTCCCTGACTGCAGACTTTCCCAGTGCAGTCTGATCTCCCGGCTACTGAGTGGGAAATGAACACCTATTTTCCTGTTGTACAAGACCCTATCTATTCGCTCTTGGTTTCTGTCTTGCCTTGAACACCCCACCCTGGACTAGGAGCTTTTCCTGCCTGATACAATAGCTATAGGCCTGCATGGGGCAAAAAGGGAGACCTCTTTTACCCCAGTATCACAATGCATTTTAAAAAAAATTTATATTACTCTGCCAACAAAATCATTCATTCACATAGTGTTTCAAATGACCATTTTCATATGCTATGTTTTAGAAGATGAATCACTATTGATCTATGCCCACTACCGCCCTGTCTTTTTAGGTCCCTATTGGATCTTTCCTAACTTCCTTACCCTCCTCCCTGTGCCCACCAAACTTAGAGACCCTATGATTCCCCCCTCCCCATCCTCAGTGCCCTCCCCTAGACCCCCTTTCCCTGCCCTTTCCCACTCTGGACTTTTATCCACATCTTACTAGCTATCCTTCTTGTTGTTAGGTGATGGTGAGTCAATTTCAACTCACTGTGACGCCACAGGACAGACCAGAGCTGGCCCAGAGGACTCTGTAGGCTGCCTTCTTTATGGGAGCTGAATGCCAGAGTCTTTCTCCTTTAGAGCTGCTGGATGGGTTTGAATCATCAATCTTCTGGTTAACAGCTAAGTGCTCAAGCATGGAACCACCAGAGCTCTTGCAATCCACTAGACTAAAAGGAGAATGCAAACCCAGACAGTCCCTCCACTTAACCACAAGGAAGTAGCCAGAGTGAGACAACACCCAGTCTGTAACACAGCCACCCCCGGGCCTGGCTTCCTCTGCATTCATTCATTGACAGAAGGAGCCTCAGAGGTACCATGCGCATGCTGACTATACCGCAGGCCAACCCCGCCCCTTAACTGGGGTGTGCACTTCAGACGGTCCCAGAGGACCATGCACGTGCTGGCTACCCCACGGTGCAAACTCCAGTCCTTAACCG